TTTAAGATCACTAGGTTTTGTAGAAAATCGGGTTTTTCAGAAATCTCTATCTCAGGACTCTGAGGTGCAGCATAATTATTCGCTGTCGAAATATATAGAAGTCGACGCGCTCTTTCATTTGATACCAACTTCAAGGTTTAACGTTAGGGAACGTGGTCAGCAGACGTTCTACAAGTTAGGTCAAATCCGCCGAAAACTGCATTTTTCTGCAGCTTGTGTAAAATGGCTATAGCGCTTTTCTAACAAGCTTATACACTTGCGGTATTCACCATTCGATTCAGCTCGCTGAGCTCTATAATATGAGATAGGTCTCGTCACTGACGTCAAAGGTCAATGTAAATGGTAGTTGATTTTATATGGATTTAGCCTATCCGTCAATGCCGAAAACATCACTCTCAGTAGTATTTATAGTGTTAGGACACTCAAGCACAATTTGATCTCAATATTATAGATATCATTTCGTAGCCCGTGAAATTCTCTATGGAGTAGTGTAGAGTAGTTGAGGTTTGCTTTGAGCATCGAGAAGAAATGAAGAAATACTCTAAATAAAGTTCATCTCACGGGAGAAAAGTTTATATGCGAAATTTTTTCCAGGGGGTTTAAAAATGGTTTTATTGAGGTGCTGGTTTTAATCACGGAGAAAAACTACATCAGACCTGTGAATATAAGCTTGATCTGAGAGGAGGCCAATTTCGCCGGTTCAAACTGTGTCAGTTTGAAGAGGACGATTGAATTTGAAATTGAAGGATTGTAACATGGTGGCTAGATAGCCCAATGTGTTCTCTACAATTTTGCGCAAGGTTGACCTATCTATCGGTTGTGGTTCTCGAATGGCAGGCATTTACCCGATGCAATGGTAACGAATTTCGGTGCCTCAGGAAAATGCCTGCTATTCGAGAACCATAATAAATAGGGAGGTCGGTCTCGCGCAAAATTGTAGAAAACACTTAGGGCTACCTAGTCACCATGTCGAAATTAAACATCTACTGTAGATTCAGAATCTGGCAACCTCATCGATTTTCATCCGTAATGTACACCGCCTGAACAACCGAGATTTGTAAGACAAAACATATATGAAGATAGAGTAAAGCCTTCTACAAAATGCTAAAAACTCGAACTTTCTATCTCTTTTCGTTCTCGAGGTATTCTAGAAAAATCCATGGCCGCTCTATTCAGAAATCCATACTAGAAACCCCGTTTGTCTAAAACCGGATACAAATAACTGGTTATCGATAACATTTTGAAAAGACAAATACAGGGATTTGTAGCGCTTGAAAAACTCTGTCGAATGACTTACTGCTTTACCGTTTCTAATAAACCGTTAATTTGCAAATAAAAGTGTAAGATGCTACAGTGATGTTAATTAGTATTCATTAGCATTGATTAATTATAAATTATTGTCTTAAAAAGGCGTTTTTTAAAACTTTTTTCATCAGACTCTAACAACAGACCATTGGCTATCAAGCAATGCATGAATGACTTTTCTACGATATTTTTTGAGTGAGCTACAACTTTTTTAAAATGGGGACTAGGACTTTAAATTTTAATTAAAACTTAAACTTAATTAATTAATAACTCTGCGAATAGTTATCAGTTTATCGATGGAAAGCAAGGATATATGTAGTCAGACGTTCTCTTTAAACTGACAAAGTTTGAAGGTACATATAGGGACTCCCGCTTAAGACAATATTTGTGTACAGGTAAAAATCTTGATTTAACAAGATTTTCTCTCGTTTGTAACAATACGTCTTTTTCTTCTCCATTCTCTCAATCTTGACAACGCTTCCCTTTGCTTTCTTTCACTACTTCATTTGTTGAAAAACATCATTTTCTTCAAACACAGCATAGCTATATCTGTAACAAAATAAAATTCTTGCTTCAATATCAAAATTTCCATAATAATAAGGAAAATGAAAAGTCTTTTGTTCTTCCGATAGGTGACTGTTTTATTTTATTATATCTGCATAAAAGAAACTGAAGAGAAAAATCATATATATTTTCTTTCTTTTATCTCTTGGTTTAATTATTAGTCAAAGTGGTGATCTTAATAAAACATCAATACGGCGCTCCGCATATAAAATTATGTGTATCGTACTTCACTTAGTGAATATTTATTAGTATCGTTCTCCTCCATTATAAGGAAATAAATTATGTTATATTATTTGTATTTGTTTTTTTTCACTTATGTGCTTTAAAATAGTTTTTATCTAACGAAGAAAACGTGTTTTGAAAATCAAAAAAATTGACTATTGAGTGTTGTGGATATGCACGCAAGACTGAACCGACGAGAAATGGGTAATTCCATCAATAGTCACTTCAGTTGATGCTAGAAGCGATGTATACTAATGGCACTCTGTCGTAATCACCTGAAAAAATGACATAGCAAAGGCGGGTTGAACTCTGAAAAGAAGACAAGTCTGCAGTCATAATATACATATATGCAGATTCTTCATGCAGGCTTATCTTCTTTTCAGCGTTCAACTCCGACTCTGCTATGTCATTTTTTCAGGTGATTACGACAGATTAATGCCATCACAATCTGCTTTGCCGTCTATTTCTGCTGCAAAATCTTGTAATTGTTAAAAGCTTTATTCTGTTCAGACCATATCTCATAAGAGAGAGATCTAAAAGCAAGCTGGTTACTGTAATTCAAGATTCTGAATTATGTTTCAGGTTGGACTTATAGTAACCAAAATATGTTCCTACTAGGGCGAGACTTTAATCGGTGTAGTACTGCGTGTGACAGAACAAGCAGGATATGTGAAATTCGAGGATATAATAGAAGATTACAAATGAATTTTAAACTATAGTCAACATTTATTTTAGTCATTATGTTTTTAGATGAGCTGGTAGAATACATGTTGGTATTTGGACCATTTTATGATGATTTACTTTCTGTCGTTGTTCGTATATGCCAATTACTTCCTTCTGTCGTTCTGTTAAAATTTGTTCGCTCTTCTGATCTATGTAGTTCATTGCCCATTCCAATTCGTCATAGGTGGCACCAATTTGATCTTCATCTGTACGTGAATCTCCAAAAAGGCCATCGGTTGGTGGTGCATCAATGATCGATTGGATAATTCCTAATTTACGAGCAACTGCTCTCACTTCCGATTTCATTAGATCAGCAATGGGGCTAATGTCAACTCCACCGTCTCCATATTTGGTAAAAAAGCCAACACCAAAATCTTCTACTTTATTTCCTGTGCCAACAACGACATAGCCGTTCAGTTGTGCATAGTAGTACAACGTAACCTAGAAGAAAAACGAGCGTAATCTCTAAAAAAAAGTCTTAAGCTTGATGTTAAGAAAATAAAACGCCTTAGCTAGAGAACGAAGATCTGGATGACTACTTTCTAATTCTCCTAATATTACTTAAAAAGAACTTTAGTTCCTATTTAAAATTGTGTTCACTCACCATTCTTAATCGTGATCGAGTATTCGCCAGAGCTAATTCTGTTTCCTTGTTTTCCTGCATATGTGTCAATGTAGTTTTAATGACATCGAACGTTTGAGTTAAATCGATTTCATATGACTGTACTTTATCTAAATATTGTTCTTTGAGCCAATTAATGTGTTCTCGTGCACGACTAACTTGATCCTTTGCTTGATGAATGGGCATTTCCAGCAAAAGGATGGGCAAACCCGTTTCGGCGCATAATGTTGAAGTAACGGCAGAATCAATACCCCCACTAACGCCAACACAAAAACCTTTAATTGATGAATTTGCTTTCTGATAATCCTTTATCCACTCAACAATATGGCCAATCACTTCGGCGACTTTCATTTTGTAATTCTATAATCAAACAAAAAAAAGCAATTTTACTCTAAAACAGAGAAATATTACTTAAAAACTGCGTCATCTTTAATATATTAAAATTTTATTTTGGTATTTTGAACTCGACTTGTTTGAACTAAATAAATTTTATTTTACTACAGTTTTTCTGTCACAGAAAAGCTCAAGTCTTAGAAATATGAACTGGCTCTTACTACGGGCGCAGTCCCGAGACTGTCGTTCTGTAACTTGAGAATTCCAGGTCTTGAGCTTTTTTCTGTAACGAAGAAACTGTTGTAAAATGAAATTTATTTAATCTTAGAATTTGTATCAAAATCCGAAGAGTTGCGGAGTCTATGAAAGTTCTACCGAAAAATAAAATTATTTTTCTTTTTTCCACTTATGTGCTTCAAAATAGTTTTTATTTGACGAAGAAAAACGTGTTTTTTGGAAATCAAAAAAATTGACTATTAAATGTTGTGAACATGCACGCAAGACTAAATCGATAAGAAATGGGTAATTTCATCAATAATCACTTCTGTTGATGCTGAAAGCGATGTATAATAAACATCGATAGAAATGCTCCTGTTCATACCACTTTGACTGATGAATTAAATTGAGAGGTAAAAGAAAGAAAATATATATGATTTTTCTCTTCAGTTTCTTTTATGCAGATATAATAAAATAAAACAGTCACCTATCGGAAGAACAAAAGACTTTTCATTTTCCTTATTATTATGGAAATTTTGATATTGAAGCAAGAATTTTATTTTGTTACAGATATAGCTATGCTGTGTTTGAAGAAAATGATGTTTTTCAACAAATGAAGTAGTGAAAGAAAGCAAGGGAAGCGTTGTCAAGGTTGAGAGAATGGAGAAGAAAACGACGCATTGTTACAAACGAGAGAAAATCTTTGTTAAATGAAAATTTCTACCTTTAAACGACTAATATCGATTAAACAACAGATGATTGCCGAATGAGTTTGATTTAATGATTGTTCAAAAATGCTCGTTGATAATAACTAATTGATTCAGTCACATTTTGTATAATATCGCCTATATTTTTAGAATATGAGTGACAAATAAATTATTTTGTTGTTTGCTTAACGTTTTTCAACAAAACTAGAGAATCATCGTCATCATCTTTTTTCTCATAAATATCAATAATTTGATTGAAATCATCGATTAAATTCGGCTTATCACTAGGTAAAAATTTGTCATCCGTTTCAAATGCACGATGGTAATTAACAGGAGCTTGATCATAGTCTAAAAGACAAGGGGGAAAAAGGGCACTTCGCGGAGTAAACCGCACTCCATCGCACTCCGGCACTCCGTACAATGGTCCGGAGTGGCGAAGTGCGTTGTTTTCTTTTAAAATAAAATAGTGATATTTCTCTCAATATTCTTCCCCCAAAACGCAACAATCCGATTCCCGAAACAGAACAGTTATGGTCCCAGAACAGAACAATCCGGTACTTTCCTTGGGAAAATTTCTCAGATAACGGGACAATTGTGTGCTGTTCTGTGAATTTGCAGACCGATGCAAAATCTTCATGATCTTAAGGTAAAGTTTTTCAAAAATATTTTTCAGCTTATCTATTTGTCTAATTCTAACAATAATAAACGTTCAAATAAATCGGTGGGCTAAATCATCCGTTTGTTTTCATTTTGCATTTGGATAATCTTGAACATCGACTAGTCCTTCGTCTGTTACTGTGATTTCAATTTTTCACCAATACAATTTTGAATCAAATCTAACATGATCGATTTTGATAGCATGGGGCAATAAATCGTAAAGGTGCTTGAATATCAGCCCCTCTGCTGGTGTCGGAGTTGTTCTCCATGTCGAAAGACCAGTAAGTTCCTAATGTTTATTGCGATCCAAACAGTGTGATGGACATAAAAGTGGGCATGGTTCCCTGCGTCTACAAACCCTTTTGCTAGTTTACGGCCGACTATGAGGCGAGCAAAACGGGTCAAGGAGTACGTCTTAACACGCACAGTCAAGCGTGTCTTTATTAGAAAGTAGGTATCTGTTATCGTGTTTGTGAACTGTCATTTGCAGTACTGAAATAGAACGTCTATGACACGATGGGGACAGCTCTCTAAGGAGAAATCTATTTATAGATTCTTTCTAAAAAGAACTGAAGTAACTTTTTATTACAGTGTACATGAATGTATTTTATTAAATATAAATTTACGTTTAAAAAACTTCAAAAGATGTCAGGAAAGTACGAATGCTGAACTTTAAAAGTTTCTTGTCGATTTTCGACAGTCTGCTAGTTTGTGTTTGCCTCATCATTTAGTGGATAGAAAATAGTCAAACAACTTCTTCGTCAAACAGTTCTTAAAAGTAATTCTGTGAATATCTGACTTCATCTAAAGAAAGTATATTTGTCTTGTCTGAGACTGCTAGAGAATGCAGGACTGGATTATCCGAGGGGGAAAAAGCAGCTCCCGGTACCACCAGGAACCCAGCAGAATCCTGTAGAGCTGGCGACAGCTCCGGTGGTATCAAGTGGCTCCACATGAGTTCTACTCAGCGTCAGTGAGTTTCACTCAGCTTCAATGAGTTCCAATGAGCTCCATTAGCTCCACTCAGCTCCAATAAGTTCCAGTGAGCTTCAATCAGGTCCATTCAGTTCCACTCAACTTCAATGAGTTCCGAAGGGTGAGGCCCATTGAAGCTCATTGGAACTCACTGGCGCTGAGTGGAACTCATGTTGAGCCACTTGGTACCACCGGAACTGTGGAGCTGCTTTTTTTCTTCCTCGGGATTATCACCTACGAATATCATACTAAAAAGCCTTCGAATTATCCACATGATATATCTCTAAACCGTGAAGAATAGTATTTCCTCACGAAGCTCGCATAACATGGAATCATTTGCAGTTGAAATTTTGACGATGCAGCCTCTAGATGGAAGAAGAAATAGTCTGCATTTGAACAATATGTTTCGAAATTATTTTGTCCGTTTTCTATCTTTGACCACCTACTACTCGATAATGCTGGATTATAGAGATGAAGAAAATCGTTAAGTACTGGGCAGAAATATGAATCATTTGATTCACAAAAAGTCCACTAAATAAGCCGTGCACCTATATATGCAGTAGTTTTGTTTTACCTGATGTCGTTCTAGCTGCACTATATTGTAGATATCTGTCTGTGCTCAGTCACTACTAACTAAATTGAATGAAGAAAAGATGGTCATTATGGTTCAACATCAAGGAACCGAGTGAATCGAAGATAAGCGTTACTTGTTTTGAACATAAATCGATAATATGAAATCGAAATAGACAAAGTAACTCAACATCTTCTGTTCTCATTCTTTTATTTACTAATCAATAAACAAATGCATTGCGATTCGATAGCTTTATCTATGGTATATGATATTTCAAATTATTCAATTTTTTTGTTTTATTCGGCGCATAATAATATCGATATTTATCGCGTATTTTTCATTTGGCTTGATCTGTTTGTGGTAACTTTCGTAGAATATTACTCAACAGTTGAAACCACATAAACGATTCCGAATATTTCGATACATTACGTGTTGATTTTTATTTTTGATGATCAAATAAACTGAAGGCAAGTGACTATTTCGATACTAAATGAATTCTTTTCTCATGGATTGTAACAGCGATTGTTGATCTGTGAAAATATCGATGATTTTTGTATATTTATCTAGTAGTAGAACATGATGTTCACGATCCATGTAAAAAAGCAAATATCGAAGTGATGACAGATAATGAATGAACTTGAGAAAGAATAGACTCTGATAATGAGCCAGAAACAACCAAAATTTTTTCTTCAACAATTACTTCAATATAATTATACTAGGTTAGGAAACGTTTGTATGTTCACGTGGAGAAATCAAGAGCCTAATAACTCTTGAGAGACACGGTGTATACGACTAAAACTTGCAGACTGTAGGTAATCCAGCACTTTATTCGATTTATACAAAGTTTAAAATCTGTGTATTGCAGAATATAATGATTTAATCTTAAAATAACGATTGTGTACGAAGACAACCAAATCAATGTGATATCTTCACGATAAACAAGGATATGAGAAAATAGACTTCCTTCACGCAGCACAAGACCGGAGAAATTGGCGTATCATGTTAGCCAACGTCTGCAACTGATAAGGCACTTAACTAACTATCTTCACGATTATCTTCAACTTCACTTACTTGCGATTACCTTCTCGTATTATAGATCTGGTTATTATTGTGCATTCTAATTAAAGTTTTCAATTAGACTAATCTATTAAGAAACCAAATTTGATGGAATGGTCAATAGTCTTGAAAAGAAATTGCATATGATAACAAATTTCTTTTCGTTTATTTTGAGAAATGTTGAAAAGAGCAGTAATAACTGATGACAATATACTATAGTTATTCGGCTTGTCCAAACGTAACGGTGTTATGTTTTGGACGCACTAAAACGAAATTATCTCGGAAACTAAAACAGTTAAAAAACCCAGTTAAACGCCATTCGATGCAGCTCGTCGACTCCCATTTACGATATAAAAACGAAATTTTTTACATGACTTCTCGAATTTTGAGAACGGTTTTTGTAGGCCGTAACGGTGTTACGAAAAAAGACCCTTTTTTTCGAGTGCTATCAACAAAAGCGTGAATTCAGACAAAGGTAAAGCTCATAATGAAAAGTTTTTAGCACAGAAATTGTAGAGTATCAAACGGGCTATCCGATGGTAAAAAAAGAATTTTTCCAACATCTTCAGTTAAGGCAAAAACATCAAAACATAAACGTAACGATGTTACGCACTATTTTTGTCGAGTGTTTTCGAGGGACTTAACATGATCAGGAGATTTTGATATTATACAGATAATTATTCGTGCCACAGTCAGTCGATATACGCAAGAATAAAGTCGCTACCTCGGGTTGGAGGGTCAAAAACTGTAAATTAAGTCAGAAAATGTACAAATATGTACAAATTTTCTCAAGGACTGAAGCTCAAAACCAAATACGCCATTTTGTAGAAAATTAAATTTTCTACGAAACCATATGTTCAGAAATTTATTTTTCGAAAACTATCTCGGCTAAAAAATAGAAAATGCGATTTTTGAAATGTTCAAAAACCGGTTTTGAGTTTCAAAAACCAATTTTTATCAAAAAAGTGTTTTAAACGGATCCTTAGAATTAAAAATTACATCTAGTGACGTGTTCAAAACTTTCGAAGGCGAAAATTTTTTTTTTATAAACTTGATCAGCGAAGTGTCGCGTTATGTGGACAAGCCGTATTACTGTATACCATCCATTTCAATGAACTGTGCAGGTGGATGTTTTCTGAATAACTTTTGATTGGAACGAGATAGAGACCTGCGATTTTCGCTGTTCGATAGCCAAGACTTAAGCGGAACGTTTTACAAGCGGAAACAACTGTTGAAAAAGTTTCAAAAATCGAGTTTCCAGAGGATATTTGAAAAACCAGCTTTGTTCTCAGAAAACAGGGGGTAGAACAAGAAAAAACAAAAATATGATAAACGTCTAGAGTTTGGATTTTTTACTCGTAACTCACTCATTTTTAGGCTCTAAGGTTTAAAAGCTTAGATTTATAGGTAACTTTGGACGCTTTATCTAATGAGATCATAAAAAGTCGTATGATTTTGAATTCTTTGGAGGATTCGTAGTCATATATTTAGAGTAGGATCGGCAGGTATATTAGGATATCATTCCTGTTGATATGTGTAATTAGCCATTTATAATAGAATTGTTTTTACATAGTTTGTGTAGAAACAGAAGAAAATCGGCTTTAGTATAAAACTTTCTGGAAATTTCAGGTTTTTTGCCCAAGAGTAAGGTGCTTTTCCCAAACATTTCAGTTATTTCAGGTTTTTCAGGTCAAAAGAAATCACTCCTGCTGTTAGTTCGGTTTAATTGCACGATTGTATGCTGTGGGGTCCTGCCGATATAATGTATCGTCACCACCGTTATTTGCTCAAATTTTAGCGGACACTGGCTCCGCTTAGAATCACAGAACACGTGAATGGTTATCCTAGATTTTCCATCACTGTAATGCATTTCTAAAGCCTCTGTCCACCACAATTACATTCCTTTCATTCAAGCATGTAGAAATAGCATCATAATTATTTAGCAATCCATGTTTGATAAGCAGAAATCAATTATTTTACAGGATAAAGTTTCCAAAATAATTAGTTTCGGTGATAAAAAAAGATCACCGAAAGTTAGATATCAGTCTGACATGGAAAATATACCCGTTGTGTATGAAGGATAACTGAGGCGCAAGAAATAGGTAAGGTTTTATTTGCACTTGATCCAGTTGACTACAATTGGGCTCAGAATTGGCTGTAAGGCTCTATAATTTTAGATTCAGAGTAATAAGTGAACCAGAATAAATGTTACCCTTAATATTTTGTTAATATCTCTTTGAAGTTTCACCGTCAGATTTGAATATTTTTTAAAAATATTTCTTGTTCAATTTTCCACAAGAATCAATACATCATTTTATATTTGATTGTGTCGTTCTACTTTTGTACAAACGAAAGAAGTTTTCAAATTGGGATTGAGACAATTTGAATAACACTCACTTTGGTTTATGTCAGATTCCTGGTGAAAATATAGAAAACAAAAAAATTAATACAAAAAAGAATAGTATTGATATTAATTAACGTATTTCATCTAGAAATGTCCCGAACATGTAGAGATGTTACTTTTGATTTATGTATATCATTTGAAATATTCTCGAAATAATGTAAATAATAAAGTTCGTTTTCTTCTAGAAATGGAGAAGGGGAAACTGTAAAGCCCCTACCAAATCATTAAGCACTGAATGCTAGTTTTCTTTATTCTTCTTCTTCTTCTTCCTCTTCTTCTTGATCATCTGCGCCCTCATCATCGTTTGCTGTACCACCTTCACTCGTTTTTGTCAGTATCCACAATTTTCTACCACCCGATGTTGTTTCAGCAGTAACAGTAAAACCGGCATTTTTGAACACTTGTAGAATATGTGCAGGTGGATCTGTACATTGAACACCCTTTTCATCATCACTCAATTTTTCGTTTGTGCACGACTGTTGTAAAATACGAATAATTTCTGGTTGTATCCTATAACTTTCAACACCGGTACTATGGACAAGTGTTGGACCGCGCTGTTCGTTTGAACTGTCACATGATACAGTTAATGTTGAATGCATAGCCAACGCCATTTCAATAATTTAATAACAAATTCCTTAAAGAAGTCAATAATCTCATTATTGTCATATGCCGGATATCTTTATAGAAAGAGCATAACTGCTTTGCTCGTTACGACTGTCTCATCTACCAAATTTCTTTACTAATTTTTTCTCTTTATACACAGGACCGAAAAATGATCATACCCCTGGTCTTCAATTTTTCTCCCAGATCACAACGACTACAACAAATCTAAAAAAGGATTGAATAGCTGGCAAAGCTTTCAGTGTGGTTTCATACATTTTTTCGTGTAACTACATTCAGTTTACGAAAGGTTGTATCAGCAATTTTTGTTGATTTTCTATTGATTGTACAGGCTGGAACCTTTCATAAACCGAGTAGAGTTTTAAGAAAACCAGCTACAGGCATTTGTTCTATATGATGTGTTTGTTTGGAAAACGTTTCGCATTCAAATTCATGAAGTCTATTCGGTAGGTTATTGAACAAATTTACAAGCAAATTTAATGAAATCTTTACATTTATCACTTTTAAAAACAAGAAGGTAAGTTAGTTAAAACCCTAACAGGATATAACCACTTAAGAAAAACCCAAGCAGGTTTTTCGGTGAAAGTAAAAAACATTTATAAGATATTTATATGGTTCAAATGGTTATGTCATTTTCCGTCTTTTTAGAAAGCTCACCAGATTGAAAACTCTTTCAGCTAGTCCAATGTACTTTCAGATTTCTTTTCTCTATTATAATCAAATAGAAAGATTGGAAACTAAAATGTAATGTACTCGGTTTTTCAGTAGATGAAGTATATGAATATGTGAGAATGAACACATTTTCTAACTTTGAAGAGTTCTGACAGACAGAAGAATGAATGAAATCAAAAGTATAACAAAACTTTTTGATTTTAGATTGTTCTTATAAACTCACGATGTAAATGTATTCGTTTTGACGAGTAACTTTAGAAAGACATGAATTTTGAAGGTTGAAGTCAGAAAACAAAATACCTGCTTATATCTGTTAGTTTTGTATTTGACTAAAAAACAACCTTGGCAATAAAAAGTAGTTGATTAGATATTCTAGCTATTTATAAGTATGAAAAAAGAATAGATGAAATATTTCTTCTGAATGACACTGTTGCGATTAAATGTGTGTATCAACAACACAGCGAAAGAAAAAAATCTACAAAGCTATTATTTGCTTTACACTTTCAATATCGTTCGGATATTATGAACGGAATTTTACGATGATATCTGTTGAGGATGTACTTTACTAATGGTATACTATTCGTTTTAGAATGGATTAGAAATATATTTCAGCGCAGGTCTGACAGTTTAAATAGCTTTTGTTTCAAGCATATAGCTTTTTGCCCTGTCTTGCAGCTATAGCTCGAGTCCAGGTTAAGCTTTTCGCCTATTCGATCTTTTAAAAATGAGCTAAGAATAAACTTTGTCACGCACACTTCTCTATCAACAATTCATCCGATCAATGTGGTTCCTTCACACTTTATATTCAATGTATTGTGTAGATCTGTCCTTTTAACAGACAAAAATTTAACTGATGTGTAGTTGTTGAGATATTTTGAAAACAGTCGATTTTTTCTACCGTATGACTCATACGTGCACAATAGATAATTAAATGAAGGTAGATTGAGACAACTACAAACAGGCGTTTGTATGATTCGTAACACAATGAATTACTATACTGCTATGTAGATGTTGTTTTGAGTTTCTATTATATTAAAGGAATAATTCCGTATAGAAGGTTAAATTATTCACTGCTCATTTTGGCTTGTCTTCTTATCATTTCCGTAACCTAATTCATTACTTGCTTTAAAGTTTTCTTGTTCAATTTATACATTTCTCAAAAATATTATTCTTTATTAGAATCCTACTCAATACAGTTTGATCAATCACCAATTACGCTTAAACTAAAGTACTACTTGAATTCGCGAGACAGGGATCGATCTACCAAGATCTTGTTTATATAGATGTTGTTCAGAAACCATAGATGGTCTTAAAGCCACAAAGTGGAAAGTGGTAGAAACGTAGTTATTCAACCGTTAAAAAAGAGTCTTTTTCGTACTGAACACAAATACATGAAAAGAATGAAAATAAGAAAACTATTAATAACTCACAGCAATTCTTTTATTCTCTTTAATATGCACTCTCTATAAACAAATGGTTTATCTATATGACGCAGAAATAATGAATTAAACATACTTCTTTTTTCTCTTTGTATTCTCAGTGCTTGATATTTGATATTTTACTGTGCAAAATAACGGACAGCATTAAAAGTCCAAATTCGAAAAGGTCTCATTAACTTGCACAAACATCTTTCCTAATCACAAACCTCCACTGAATACCCAATGTCGGGCTATTAGCTTCTAGACAGGTATGTTAGCTTCATTTAATGACCAACTCGAGCTCTTTACGTCGTTCCGTTACGCAGAAATCCCGCAACGACGAAGTCATGTGGACGCGAAGTTCTGTTGACATAAAGTGGCGCTAGTGTATGATGCATAATTTAGAGCGTCTATTTAAAATTCTTACAATATTTGATTATAACATTATCTGGAGTTGGGAGACATCACATTTTGATCAGAAATGCCCGGTCTACAATCCATGTAGCTGGTTAAGCCCATCAGTAATCACCAGTCTATACAGATGTATGGAGCTAACGTAAAAATTGCTGGGTTTCTGGTCTTCATCACAGAAAGTCGAATGGTAAAATGAGTTTAAAAAGCTCATTGACATCATAGTTGGTGAGAGCTTACAACTTATGCACTTTCCATTCTGGCCGTTAAACTGTTTCCCTATATAGAATTTTCTCATGAAGTTTTATATTGAACTCAACACCAACATCTTTATTCGATTCCGCTCGTCTTTTACGTATCAAGTAATGCTACTTGTAAAAAATAACGGTTCCCTACCGAATCTTTGAAGGTTTATAGTTTTGAAACGAATTCGAAAACTTAAAAGGTTTAGTTGCAAAAAGGTTTCGTGGCAAACACGTATCTTTTTATTCAGAAAGAAGGTACCTTGGCGCTCGTTTACCGGGTGACGTTTACTGAGGCATACTTTTTACCTGCATTTTCTTCAATAGAGTTTAAATTTCTTTTGAATTCATTTCGAAACTTTTTTGCAACGATTCCTGATAGTTACAGTTAACTGGATGTATAGGTATGCACCAGTTAAATGGAATTGATGGATACCTGCATCACACATTTCATACCGATCACGCAAATGGGTAGGAAGTATGAACTTTAACGACAGTCATTTTCAGTTTCTTAGCTTTGTACTTCTTGCCACATGACAGACATTTATTTTTTTCAATGCTGTTCATTGTTCTCTATTAGACTATGTATAAAAATCTATTAACATATCGCAGGAAAACAATAATCCATTTTCGTGTTTTTCATCTCTATTTCTTACAGCTCTGCAATAAAGAACATTTTAATAATTGTTTAGATAACAATTTCTAAAACGGTAATGGTACGATTGTAGAAATGTTTCGGCTGAAATGGAACGGTCGTTCTGAATTTCAATTCAAAATGGCAATATTTCTGCTATAGGAAATAATCCAAATATTCTGTGGTTCTCAGAGAAACCAGTTGCTGCGAAATCCAAGCTCTGTAGGCAAAAACTGATTCAAAATTTAGTATCTTAGAAACAAAGCACTATGGGGATGAACCAAGTTCGGATATTTGAACAGAAAAAATTATAGTATTAGTCACTGTACATATAGAAGTACTATTCGTCCGAATAAGATCTCAACTTTGGAACAGTCGGACGTAAAAAAAGCGTTTAGGTTCAACTCGAGCGGCTTTTTAAATAGTCTGATCAAGAACCATGGTACTTTATAGAACTTATCTGACTGTAAAGTCCGATATAATAAACGCTTCAGAACGTTTCAACACGGCTTCTTAAAATTTTCTAACTAGCAAAACTTTGTATATTTCAAGGCGAACGCTTCAGGCAAATTCTCATACGATTTGTACTACTGGAATGCTACTGCACAGGTTTATAAAGAGTGGGATACGGATCTCGCGTTTCAAGACACCTAAAAACGTTTCAATTTTCTTGTATTGTGGTACACAAAAGTACAGCAGAAGATAAAAACAACAGAGATGTAGATGACATTTTATCATCTTTGAAAGAAAAGTTTGTTTTTACCTTGTTCCGTGGGACGCTAGGGCGTAAGATTCCTTTTCACCAGGTGATCAAAGCCTTAAAACAAGACGACCACGTGGTATACGAATCGGTTTTATACAAAAATTTGTAAATGGAAATGATCTAACTATTGGTACAACAATAGCTGACGTAACAGGTCAATCGAGCTCTAATGCAAATCAGTTGGCGGATCCGAGTGTCGTTATCATTGACAAGCAATACAATATGCGCATTGCTGACACATCAAACAGTCGAATACAAAAATGGTTACCTAACAGTTTTGCTAACGGTATTTGTTGTACCCATGACATAAAATACAAACTTTACAGCAGAGCCCATATATGAAATCTGAGGTTCAGAGATAGCTTTCTAAGTTCATATATTTAGAAGCTCTTATCGTCAGAATATGTTGTCGGGGCAAACAAAATGCGAAAGTTTGCTTTTGCTGACAAAAACCATTTTCGAGATATGAACGAAACAAGCATTTCACTGGGAGGACGGTATAGTTCAAGTATGTTTCTGTACAGACAAATTCTTGTATAAATGCAGTGTTTTTATAATATTTTGTAAGAAACTGTCATGCGCACTAGACAGTGAAGGGAAGAAAAGTAGACAGAATGTCGAGCTAAAGTAGATTGAATTAGGTATATTGAGCGAGTAGAGACGGTTGTGCCTTGACAGCTGAAAAATTCGAAGCACATATACTTAGTGTCACTCTTGTTGTGGTGCCCATACGTGTGGACGTATTGAAATTGTGACATTTTTTGGTCTTATAATCGATACGGATTTCTGATTTTTTCTACTAATCCAATGTTTTATCAATCCATAAAATACTTAACATCTGAACATCAAT